CTTGGCTTTTGTGCAGAAGGACGGGGAACCTGGGGGTCTGACAGCCCTGTGTGCCCTGTTGGTGGTGGCCGCAGAGGGCCAGGAGGGTGGCAGCTCTCTGCAGGTATCCAGGTGGTCTAGGGGAGGGGCAGCTCCCACCTCCTTCCTAGTGGAGTTCGAAAGCTCTTGGCTGAAACCCCCTTCGCGTTGCCAAAAAGCTGCCACTGGGCCACTTCATTCCCCTTTTTTTTTTTTAAATTTTTCCTCCCAAAGTGTAGTTTTTTTAATGCGAGCATCGTTTTTACACTTCTGAACTCCAGCTACCTATATTGTACTACATTTGGTTAATTCTCACCCCCTGCCCGTTTATGCGTTGTGATTGACGGGTCACGTGGTATTACTTTAAGGTATAAATAATGGTTTGACACCTGTGTGTATTACACATGACAGGCACTGTTAGTTTGGTTGACATCCGTCACCTCCCAGTTACAATGGTTTTTCCTTGTGAAGAGAACTTTTTCAGAACTACTCCCTCAGCAACTTTCAACACACACACAGTGCAGCTCGCGACCACCACCCTGCTGTCTGGACTGTCCCCAGGCTTTGTCCTATTACGGGCGTAAACCGACAGCCCCCGGGAAGACACAGCCTGAGAAACGGTTAGTGCTGAGCCCTTCCGCATAGCAGCCCTGGCCAGAAGTGGAACCAGGTTGGCGCAGCGGTTGAGCGCTGGGCTGCAAAGCTGTCCGCAGCCTCTGCAGCACCGGTTCCATCCTCGGCCACCAGGTGAGGGTCCCACATGGTGCGCAGACCTCTCCTGCCACCCGCTGCTCCCCTCAGCAGTGTACTTCGGTCCTTCTGCCTGTTCTGCTCCCTGCTCTGGCTCTGGTGAATCCTCTCACCCTCCCGCGCTTCTGACTGTACCCAGTGCTCATATAAATAAATAAATCAATCTTTTTTTTAAAAAAAAGAAGTGGAACCAGGTTGACTTAAGATTTCCCAAGAGGTGTGGGGGCGCCTGGTTTCCTGTGTGTGCCGTGGACACGTGCCCTTCCCTCACCTGGCCAGTGTTTATCCAGCGCAGTCACCTTGCTGAGCAGGTTTTGCAGAGGCAGGAAGGGGGACACCAGTGACATGTGAAGAATCGGTCCAAGATGAGAAACCCTGATCTTGGAGGTGGGACTCAAGCACAGGAATCAAATAATTATGCTAACTGCACACAGCGCTAAGAAGTCAGCTCATGGGCGGCAAGAGACTAAATTGTCCGGCAAGGATTTCAGAGTCCGGGGAAGGCCAGGCAGGCTGTGGCCACCCCAGGCCTCCAGAGTAAACTCTGGGGTCTTGCAGAAACTCTTATGTTCAGCGAGGCCTTGCTGAACATCTGTGCCTGTGTGTGCAGTGAGACTCCTAGAGTTACAGACTGTGAAGGGCCCCCCCATCCTGGAGCCCCATCCATCCACCTGGGCCGGCTGAGTTGCTGCGTGTCTTTGGGGTGAAAAGGGATTCAGACTTCCCAGCACGTGCACTCAGCGCGTGAGTGAATTATATTTAGATATTTACTCTTAAAGGCAAGGTGTGCTGTATTTCCCTAGCTAAGTGACACCAGCACATTCCCATCATTTAACTGGAGAGTTGGCAGGAAGAAGTGAGTGTTTGAGTGGCCACGAGGCTCAGCTTCACACTTATGGGGAGCAGATGTGCCTTATCGGGGCGTGGGTGGGGCTGGTGGATCCGGGCGGGCACCCAAGCCGGGCAGCGGAGTTTCTTGGTCTCCCGTGGCTCCACCTGCATCTCTCAGCCCAAGCAGCGCGGTGCCTGCCATCCCGGCTCCCCCTAGCTGCTGACACCTTCCCTTCAGCCAAAGCTTTTACTCCTCTTTCTGTGGTTTCCATTTAATACCCACACGGTGGCAAATGTGTGCTGGGTGGGGCTGTGCAGCACCGACTCCAATCATTTTGCCTCTTGAACCTGAACTTCCTTTTAGGGGCCTGTTGACCACTGCAGGGCGTGGAGGGCGACTTCAGAGCTCTGCTCTGCCGGGTGGGCTGGGACACCAAGGGAACAAACAACTCCTGGGGCCCAGGTTACTGGACCCATGAACGCGGGGTGAAGGTGTGAAGCCTTAGCTTGCATCTCGAGCACCGAGAGCTAGTGGCAGGCCCTGGACCAGGTTCCGGGGCCTGCAGGAGGTGCCTCCCTCTTCGGGGTGCTCTCAGGGCAACCCTGGTGGCCTGTGGTCAGCAGGAGCACAGAGCCTGGGGTGAAGGAGGCTGGGGCCAGGAAAGGGTGACTTCAGGGAGCCTCGCAGGGGTACTGGGAGAAGGGTTGGGTGCCTGTCGGGAGCCTGCTGCCCTAAAGGGAGCTGGAGTTTTTGTTGAACACCTGTTTACTCTGCACACGGAGTTCCAGGACGTTAAAAGTTCTGCAGACAGAACTCCTTCCCAGAACTGACTCCTGTTCTCTGAGGACGTGCTGGCGTGTGTGCATGTTCCCCGCTAACCAGGAAAACTTGTTTTCAGCAATAACTTATTCATCTGTATAAGCGAAAACACAATTGCGTGCTATTTTCTTGTTCCTTTGTTCATATCTTCAGTAAAAGCTTGGGCTGGGAGAGTGAAAGGCAGAGCTGCTCTCGATGGCTCTCCCCAGCTTCCCCCCACTGCATATTCATTTAGACTCCAAGTCTTCATTATTGGCAGAGAACTTCATCAGCTGTCCTGTCTGCAGCAGGTGCCTCCATTTCTCTGCCTCCCAGCGGCCTCAGCGTGCTGGCTCCTCCGCATGCTTCCAGCCCTCCTGCCTCCCCTGCCTTCAAGGGGGCATCTCTGTGGACCTCGTTTCTCCTTCCAGCTTCAGTGTCTTGCCCGAACTGTAACTGTTGACTCCTGGTTCAGGACACTAGTCCTTGGCCCCTTGGCCTGTATCAGCCCCACCCCTCAGAGGCGACTAGCAGCCGTGGCCACCACCACCACCTCTGACCTGCGTTTCCTCCTCTGGCCCTGAAGGCGAAGCTCCTTCCTGGCCAGCTTCCTGACCTGTTTCTCTGCCTCTGGGACCTCATCCCGCCTCTGTCCAGAGGAGCCCCAGCTACAGGCTCATTCTGAATGCTGGGCCGCTGGAGAAGGCTTCCTGCTCTCGGTGGGGGTCATGAGGGTGCTGCCACATGGTGCATGCCCCAGGCCAGAAGATCGCACCCCTGCCCTGGAGGCACAGACTTGCAGTCCCCTAGGATCTTCCCTCCCAGGCTTGAGGCTCCTTTCCGCAGATCCCGCTCCTGTCACTGGCTCCTCATTTTCCTCTTCTGGTCCCCACATCTCAGCCCAGGCTCCCTCGGGTCCAGTGCCGCCTGCCAGCTCTGCTCTTGACCACACCGACCCCGCGGCAGCTCCTTCTCGGCCGCTGCGGGAAGCCGGGCCAGCTGATGCCACAGCCTCTTTCCAAACTGCCACCATCCGCCCATTGAGAGCAGGCTCTGGGGCTCGGACAACCCCTGCGGGCTCTGGGGCTCAGACAGAGAGGCCCCCGGAGCCCCCACCCACCTCCTCTGTGGTTCCTTCCGTCTGCCTGCGTCTTCCGGAGCCCCCCTCGCGCCCCCGAGCCATCCATCAAGCCTCGCCCGGTCCTGCTTCCTCTTATTTCTAGCATTTGCAAACACGCGGCATTGTCTGTTCAGATAATACAGACTCAGACTCGCTGTAAAACACGTTCTCAAGCTCAGAAAAGTGTACAGAAGAGATTGAAAAACTTGTAATTCCACTGCCCAGAAATTGCTACTAGAATTTGTATGTGTCTTTCAGAGACTGAAGGCACACGCATGTAGCGGGCATACGTTATGTTTACACACTCGGGACTGTGCTCTTTATGCTTCTTCATCTTTCTTTATTCTCTGGCTGCTCTGAGAGCTTCCCCACCCTGCTAATTTCTCTTTAAGCAGCTTTTTAAAAAGCCGCGTGTTGGCCCAGCCTCGGGAAGTACATGGATTCATGTAGCCTCTCCTGTAGGTCCTATTGTGGCTTCCAGCTTTTCAGCATAAGAAATAACAAATATCCTGTTCCCTCGCTCCAGCCTTTGTTTTCTGCATCATATGATTTAGCGCTTTTTTTTAATAAAGCCGAGGCAAGTGACACTTAGCAATCCCCTCCTGGGAGCCGCCTCTGTGCTGCTTCCCCCTCTTCCCTGAAGCCCCAGAGCCACGTAGCAAAGCAGATGTGGCCGTGAGCTGGGCACCTGCCCTCAGTCACCAGTTAGTAGGTTAAGAGGTGCACTGGGGGCCCAGCCTTTGACCCCCCTCTGCATGGCATCCATGGAGAGCACCAGGACTCGGTGCCGGGCAGACGGGGTGGACAGCGTCCTGTTTCCTTGTCATTCCCCAGCTGGACGAGAAGCACCCCAGGTGTGGGGGGCACACCTCTTGGCTGGATCTTTACCCGCTGAGAGCAGGAAGGGGGCTCTCCTTTTGTGGATGAAGACTCTGAGCGGCTTCAGAGGCTCCTTGGTGTCCAGCGTGAGCTCTCCGGGGCAGCCTGGGCAGCTGCACCCCTGTCCTCTGCTCACTAGATGCCAGCAGCCCTCATGCTCTGCAAACCAATAACATCCCTGCTCACTGCCATGGGTCCGGTGGGGCGGGTGTTAGCCTCTGCTTCCACGTTGAGAATCAGCCATGCAGAAGGTATTGCTGGAATCAGGTGATTTTTCCTACAGCAGCTCTTTCAGCCCCTGCAGTGACCACCCCACCCCATGGGCCTCAGCCACATCTTCCTGGTGAGGAAGCAGATCTAGAGGGTGACCTGTGGGGGGCGTAACTCAGCAGAAGCACCAGATCGGAGCCCTGAAGCTGTGCTAGAAGTCCAACCCCAGAGGTGTGGTGGTGGGAAAAAAGAACACCCGGGCGGGTTATTTTAAGGATCCAGTGGGATAATTTACAGTCACTGCTAGCCAGGAAATGAGGTTTGAGTGGCCCGTGCAGAAATAGAACGGAAAGGCTGACCGTCACGTTTGCTCTCTGGTCTCTCAGTGCCCCAGGGCGGTGCTTAATGAAGCCTGCAGAGCGCCTTGCCCTCCTGGCTCTGCTCCCACAGCTTCAGTGCCAGCCCCGTCCCCACCCTGTCAACAAGGCCGAGTCTCTGTGGGAAATCCAGATGCCCAGGAGGATCGATGCCATTGGCTCACCCAGGGTGAGTCGTTTCTCCCCGGTCCAGTCAGCTGTGTTTGCATTAGGGGTGGGGCAGGGGACAGGAGGACGTGATTGGTTTCCCTGATGCCCTGAGCATCTGCCACTGCCCCTTTGCTGCCCTCCCTCAGCAATCACCATGACAACAGAGGCCACATGCCCAACACCTGGAAGGCAGGGGTTTTACCCCCCAGGCCACAGTGTCCTGCTCAACAACGCTGTGGGAGATGCAGACACATCTGTTTCTTCCATTTAGCAAACAAGTGGAGCCACAGCAGCCCCCTAGAAGGTGATCTTTACCAGAACTTAATGGAGAGTTAGCTAGTTAATAGTCCATGACAAATCCAGAGGCTGTTAGGGGTCTGGCATTAACAGCAGTGGTAGCCAATTTCCAGGAGATTGCTGACATTCGGGGCCATCCGGGGAGATGTGGGGGAGAGGCCACAGTTGTTGCAGGCAGGGCAGGGCGGCTGGGCAGCTGGGGATGCACCAGGATGTTGCGTGGCTGAGGGGCAGCGCAGGTTGCCCCTGAAGCCTGTCCATCCCTCAAGCACTCAGAGCAGCCTTTGGTCAAGCTCAGAAGAATCCAACCAGCTCCATGGGCCCAGGCCCCTTGGGGCCTGGAGGCCTCAGCCCCTCCTGGCCCCACGCAGCCTGGCCTGGCAAGCTCAGAGTCTACGGATGGGCCCGGGGCCTTTAAGACGGCTTCCCCTGAAGCTGTCTGCAGCCTCTGCAGCATCGGTTCGATTCCCGGCCTCTCCCCATCGCTGCCCGGGCCTGGGTGACTGAAAGTCTGTCCCACTGACCTCCAGCCAGCTTCGTAGGTTACTGTCCCATGCAGCTCGCTCGCTGGGATATCACCCCAGCCTTTGGGGCTCTCGACCCCTGCCCACTGTGCTGTCCAGCCACATGGCCACCCCTCCCATGCCCACTCAGCACCCAGAACCACATCGTGCCATGTTCCTCCTTATAACGTTCCGTGGCTCCCCATTCCATTAGGAGAACCCCTGACCGCTTGTCAGGAGCCCCTGACCTGCATCCTTCACTCTGCCCCTGCTCCCCACGGTCAGCCTCTGCCCCCCTGCTGCTCCTGCAGTCCCCCTGGCTCCCTCCAAAGACTTTCACACACGCTTTTCACTTCACATGGACTCTTGGTCCCCCCAACCCCTAAAAAAGCCTTGTCTTCTGGCAGGTCCCCTCTCAAACCCACCTCCCTCTCTGCCCACCCTTCCTAATTTGCCTCCTGCCCTGGGTTCCTCGGTCACACTGACCCGGGGCTTTTCTTCATAGTTTCTGGAAATGCCTTGTTGGTCTGTTTTGCTCTGATAGGGGTGCAGATCGTCAGAATGGGGTGAGCCACACATGCTCCTCAGGGAGTGAGGAGCTCCTTTGGGAGGGGCCGTTTGAGCTGGAACTCGAAGCCAAAGCCTCACACCAGGCTGAGGTGTGGACGGGAGGGATTTCAGCAGAGCAACAGTGTAAGCGAAGAACAGGGGCCAGCGAGTGTGTCACCCCCAGGCAACTGCTCTGGGGCAGCGGCTTCATCCTTTGGCTGTGGGGTCAGCACTGCACGTGGTGGGATACACTAGGGTGGGCTACACTAGGCCTGCACAGGGTGGGATACACTGGGCCTTCTGCAACTAAATGTCAGCGTTTGAGAGTGAGGTTGACTGTTTCTCCTAGGCAGGAGGAGCTGGGAGCCACGGCTGGCAAGGCAGGGAGAGTGTGCTAGGTCAGGAGCTCGGCCGAGCACAGGCTTTGGAGTGCTGGGAGCTCGTTTTCGGAAGCCACCTCGAACCGAACAGCCCCCAAGAGAACAGAGGTGGCAGCGGGAGTCAGACACCAGCACATGAACTGTTCCAGAAGAGGCGCAGTTTCCACCGACGGTTCCTCCCACCCCTGCTGGGTCGGGCCAGACAGAAAGCAGAGGGCTGTGTGATGAGGTCAGATGCTCTTTGCAGTTCTTTCCGATGAACCTCTTTTGTAACATCCAGATGTCGGGGCTATTTTGGGCTTATGTTCTGAGGAGCGGTGGATGATGACCTCACAGGGTGTGACTTTAAAGACCTGTTGACAGGCCGCCATGAGCAGAACCAGCCTTTGCCTTCTAGCCCCTGTGTCCAGTCCCTTGAATTCAGAGCAAATGAAATGCCCCCAGGCCCCACCTGGCCCCTAGCTGGGGCGCTGGCATAGCCTCAGCCCCTTCTGGGCCCACACAGCCTGGCCCGGCAAGCTCAGAGTCTGCGGACGGGCCCGGGGCCTTTAAGACAACTTCCCCTGAAGCTGTCCTCAGCCTCTGCAGCGCCAGTTCGATTCCCGGCCAGCCAGGGAGATTCCCACATGGCACAGCAGACCTCTCCTGTCTTGTCCGCTGCTCCCCTCAGCAGTGTATTTCGGTCCTTCTGCCTGTTCTGCTCCCTGCTCTGTCTCTGGTGAATTTGCTCACCCTCCTGCGCTTCTGGCCTGTACCCCAGTGCTTGTAGAAATAAATCTCTCGACAGAGCGCCCGGGCCCCTCTCTTCCTCCTTGGGGTGCAGTCAGCCTGTGTGTCTGCACAGGCACTCAGCCTCTCTGAACCTCTGTGCTCACCTCAGAAAAGCATTTCAGAACACATGAGTGATAACTTGTTGCAGGTGCTGGAAGAGAATCAGGCGAGGTGATGGCTGCGCCACGTGCATCTGTAAGGCCTTTTTTTTTTTTAGATCTTATTGCTATTTTATTTTAAATATGTTTCATCATTTACATTATTTTTATGGGGACTATAACCAAGATGAAAATGCATACGTTGTGCAAAAATGAAAAATGATGTAAGGCCTTCTTCACGGCAAGCAGCTCCCAGCACACAAATCCTGCCTTGAAGCTGCTAAGAACCGCACGGAACCTGAGGCTCATCCAGTCCAAACCCCGGCAGCAAGAACACCTTCTCAAGGGCGCCTGTAGGTTTCTCCCGTCACCATTCCTATTCCAGGTGCACACACGGGGTTCAGTGCCAATGCCCCCCCTCAGGAGGAGCAGGGTCCTGGTGAGCCCGCTGTACAGCCCCTGAAACGTGCTGGGTCCAAACTGAGCCACCGCCCTGTGCAGAATACACACTGGACTTGGCGTGCTTGGATAAAAAAGAAAGTAAAATGTGTCCTTTACAAATTTCTACATCGGTAAAAATCGGTCAAAGTGTGTTTTGCGTGGATATCCGTTGATTTTATAGCTGCTCACATCTGCGCATGGGGCAGTGCTGGCAACTCAGGAACACGAGTTGAAGAAAATGCTGAGGTTGATTGCACCTGTGCTTCGCCTCGCGTGGCTCGTGCCCTGGACGTGTGCTCTGCCCGGGACACCCTGGACCCAGCCCTTTGCCCAGCAGCCCTTGAGATATCTCAAGTCTCCTCGTTTGATTCACAAGCGTCCCGGAGCGCCTGCTGGTGCCAGGCCTGTGTGGGTGCTGACGGGGAGACGGCCACACTCCCTGGATCCCAGGTTATACCTAATTTTATTCTCTCCTGGCTGGTCCTCATGTTTCTTCCACCTCAGCTTGCACACCCTGTCTTCACTCCTGCCCCTGGGACCCCTGCCTTCCACTTCATGGTCTCCCCTGCAAACAGGTGTGGCCCTGGCAGGTAAAGCAGTGACCTCTGCCACTCATGCCAACCCCCACCCCCCCCAACCCCGGGCTGCCCTGGCGTCTTGCTGGGCCTCCCGCTCCTGCAACCACCATTTTGAACCCAGGACAGAGGCTGTCAGGGCAGGCGCAGCTCCCTCAGTTCACTCCCGCCACTGACCTTGAGAAAGAGGAAGTGAGGTTAGTTGGATTCAATTTATTCTCCAGAAATCCACTTTCAGTCATTTATTGCCACTTTTTTCCCATAAGTTTCCACAAACCACTGGTTTAAATTTACTCTCTGATTTCACTGATGTGATTTCCGGAATCTGCTTATTGGTCTTTAAAAACTGGGTTCTCGCCTAAGGAGGGGTCTCCCACTTTACTTCGCTCTGGTCTTCCTGGCTCACCCCACCCCAGGCGTGCTGAAAGCCTTGGCAGTTTCCTCCTAGCTCTCCCCCAGGAGCGCGCTGGCATCCCTCAGCAGACCATGGGGAGGACCCTTGCTTTTCTGGGAAAAGGGCAGCCCGACTGCCCCCCAATAAGCAGCTGGAGCTGGGGGTGTGAGCAGAGGGACCCTAGAGGAGCTGCCGCTGGCAGCAGGGCCCCCAGGGAGGCGACAGGCAGCCTAGCTCCGCCGGTGCACGAGAAGAGCATTACTCAGAGGGCAGGGGGTGGCAGGATGCATTCTTGGGGCCCCTGAGCCACCTGGGCTGTGGGAACGCTGAGAAAGGCAGCAGACACAACCCTTGATGATGCCAGAGGAGATGCCACCGCGAGCTGTGGCCGGCTCCTGTCTCCCGGGGCACAGAGGAGCCGCGTCCACGCTGGGTCCTGGAGACGTGCAGCCCGATCTTCGCTGCTTGTCCGGCACTGTGCTTCCCTGGGCTGATGGGGAACCAGACTTTTCTGGGTTCAGAGTTTCTGTGTGATCCTGGTTAAGTGGCTTAATCTCTGTGATGTTCAACGTCTTCTGTAAAATGTGGATGAAAGTAGCTCATGTTGGCCTTTTGCTTATCATCTTAAATAAGATCAAAGCACTTAGCTCCGAGGAAGCACTTGAGAAAGGTTCGCTCTTAAGGAGCGACTTGGGGGGACACTGCGGGGTGTGTGGCCCAGGACTGTTGAGCTGTTTCTGAGGTCTCTGCCGAGTCGGGGGTGGCAGCCTCCAGGTTCACCAAAAAGGAGATGGCACTGGCTTCCCTCTACCTGTGCTCCCTCGCCTCCCAGTCCAGAAATCACAGGGATTCCAGAGTGGGCCATCTTCCTTTCATGTAAGAATCCTTTTTTGACTTAATATTCCCCAGAGTCACCCTTGGGTCAGCCCTGGGGCTGAGGGTAAATTTATCATCCAACCCTCTCCAGGGGGCAGTGGAGCCCTGCCCTTATGCCCAGAGCGCCACTTGTCCTGTCACCCAGTGGCCAGCCACCCGTCTGTGTCCTGTGGGGAGGCAGATGGTGGGTCACCACTCAGGGGCTCGAGAGCTCCATCTGCCGGCGAGACACTGGACCTGCCTGGACCCAGGCCAGCCGTGTAGCTGCGAGCTCACCTCCCACTGCTCCAGGGCACAGTCTGTGCCAGAGGAACCAGTTCTCACCCCATCTTCCATCAGCAGAGCTCCTTGATTCTAGTTTCATCAGAAGCACAGAGAGAAGAAACTATCAGAGGATAAATGCGCCGTCATTTAGCAGAGACTGAAATGACATTATGAAAAACAAGATTGGGGCACACGCTCTAGGCTGGACTCGCCCGCCATCCGTTCCAGGGAGGGGCAAGACCCTCTCAGTTACCTTCATGCCCATCTCCCTGTGGGCACCCTCTCGGCAGCCTCCTCCACCAGCAGATCTCAGGGAAGCCCCAGCAAGCAGCTGGCACAGGAGAACCAGGGACAAAAGGATATGTCCCTTCCCAGATGGATTTGCAGATTTTAATTGAAAGCAAATGCCTTAAGTAAATTCAGTGCAGCAAATTTGGGTTGAGGTTTTCTTGTATTCAAAGATTCTTGCTCAGTGGGGCAGGTGGAGGCATCTTGGTGGGGAGGTGACGCGGAGGTGCCGTTTGAATTTGGGGGTGCTGGCCTGTCCAGGTTGGACTGCTGCTCTGGACAGCGCAGGGACACCCTGGCTGGGAGTGTGGCCTGCAGGGAAGAGGGCTCTGGAAAGGGCCTAGGGTGTCCTGTGGACCCTGTGGATCGATGTGGCCGGCTGGGGTCCGACAGAAGGCCGCACTGTTGGCAGCATGGTGGGAGCTTGGAAAGGACAGGGCTTGGCGACCAGGACACCAGTTGGCCTGAGAGGTGGATCTCTAATTGCAGACTCTTAGTCGTGGCTGTTAGGGGAGTACTTGGGGGACACGTGATCCAGTGCCCTAGCCCCACGCAGTCACCAGCAACCAGGCCACTCTCTTGCCCTGCACTTGGAGCTGCCTATGGGGGGCGCCACGTTGCCTCCTGCTGATGCTCGAAGGCTGTCCCTGGAAATCAGTGTGCCCGGGAACCCTTGGCTCCATCTCACTCCTATCCCACCCCAGGGTCTGCCTCCCGTAGCTCCCTCTCCTGGGTCAGGGGGTGCTGTTCTAGAACAGGGCCTGTCCTTTGGATCCTTAACATTTTTCATGGCGGGAGTTGGGTAGAAGAAAACCCCAGGACAGCAAAACTCAGCACAGCCTGTGCTATCAGATCCCCCAAAAAGGGCATGAAAATGGGTAGCAAAAAATAGCCCCTAAGCCCCGTTCGGGTCTGCAGCCTAAGCACCAAGCCAGAGAGGAGTTTAACCGTGTGGGGCCTGATACGTGGTGATGTTTCCCTGGGTGACTCGTGAGCACGCCTGTGACAACCAGGAGTGTGGGCTTCAGTTTTGTACCTGATCGGGACAGGGCAGATGCTGATCAGATGCTGCAGGTGTGTCGATAAACCCGTTTCCATGTAAGCCCTGGAAACATGGGTGAGGTTCCCTTCTAATAGTCTAGTGGGGTGACACTTGCTTCAAAGTCAGGCCAAGGTTCAAATGCCAGCTCTGCTACCTATTTGCCGGGTGACCTGGCTCAGCGTCTTAACCTGTTTTTTCTTGTCTACCAAATGTAAACAGAAAGCGCCATCGCAAAGGATTAGTGAATGCAATCAACTTGCTAGCAGGGTCGCGGTGAGAAGTCTGCCTGTATAATTGACCTCGAAGAGCAAAGGGCACCTGCCGCCCAGTCAAAAATCCAAAGGTCATGTCTAGGAGGCCTCTGCATCTGGGGGTTCTGCACCCTTGGACTCAACTGGCCAGCATCTGTCCACGAATGCAGAACATGTGGTTAGAAAAACAAATCCACCTGCAGGTGGACCCGCACAGCTCAAGCTGTGTTGTTCAGGGGTCAGCTTTCTTGTGCCTTTAAGTGTCGTGGAGTGTTAGGAAATCTTTGAGCCAGGCATTATTCTGTGTTTTTGCTTTTCCCTTGGATTATTCTGTTTAACCTTTAGGGCAATGAAGTAGATGATGAAAGCATCCTCATTTTATAGGTGAGATGAACAAGATGTAGGGACGTGTTTGCTATGAGCTTACTAAGACATGGGGCAAGCTCACCTCTCCAGGCTGACCTTGAAGCCCTGGGTCCTATGTGAGACAGGTGGGTCTGCTCCCAGGACCCTGCTGGGACCTCAGAAGTGACGCCATGGGGGACCCCCATGCAGGGGGGCATCTTAATGTTAAGCTCATCCTCCCCTCGCCAGCCAAAAGTTCCCCAGAAGTCGAGAGTTCCTTGGAGGTATTGGAGTCTCCATTCCAGATTTTCTCAAGGAGTAAAAGAGAATGGACTAGAACATTCCATTGAGTCGCCATAAATATATGGACTGCCTTTCCCGTAAGGAGGATTCATATGCTCCAAACCCTTTATAGCTCTTCTAAAAAGCCTCCTTTTATATCTTTTTTTTTAAAGCATTGCCACTGAGGCATAATTTATATGCCATAAAATTCACTTGTTTTACGTGCATAATTTATAGAATTGCACAATCATCACTCTTAACATCAGCATTACAACCCCTCCCTGCTATTTCTCCGTAAAAGTGGGTGAAACTTTATGTGGTCTTCTTGAGCCGGAGACTGGGAAGTTGAAACCCAGATACCTCTCGCTCTAGGACACTAGATGTTTCCCAGCCTCTTGAGGGATGGGGGTCAGAAGGCAGCGCTGAGGCCGGGAAGCCTCACGGCCAGTGAGTCCAGGCGGGAACCAAAGGCAGAGCCAGGACAGCCGCCCTCAGGTACCACATCCGTGCTTGGCGAGGGTGGGGGTGGCTGGAGGACTGTTTAGGGGAAGTCCTGTTAGTGGTAAGACACAGAGAGAGCTTTGCCCTCCATACCAAGACTTCCTCCATTTTGAATTAGTCATTGTGGGTGCTGAATGAGTGGCAGAGGCTCTGCATGTGGCTGTCCAGTTTCCCCAACGCCACGCACTGCAGACGCTGTCCCTTCTCGGGGTGCCCGTGGCTCCTCTGTTGAGAATGAGGGGCCTGCATCTGCAGGGGCTCCCGCCTGGCCTCTCTGTTCTGTCTGTTGATTGACTTGACAACATGGGTAGACCGGAGGGTCCGCTGTAAGTGAAATAAATCCGCCAGAAGGGGCTGTGATTTCACTCATGAGGAAGATAAACAGAGCAAAACACAAACGATGCTCTGGACGCAGGGTCTGGCTTCGGGGCTCTCGTCCCCTGCTGTGCTCCGCATCCACATGTCCTCCCGGGGCTCGCAAGCACCCAGAAAAAAAGAGGAGTTGCCCTTCCTGGAGCAAAGTGAGGTGCCCTGGCTCCTCTGCTCCTTGCAGCCACGTCAACTCTGCCTGAACAGGGCCCCGGGGCCCAGGGCAGGGGGTTCCCCCAGGGGCCAGCCTTGGGGGCAAGGCCATGCTCAGCAAGGAGTACTCCCTCCCTCGCACCCCTTTCTTTTCCTCCCCAGACTCGCAGCCCTCCCGGAGCTCCGCCGCAGAGTTAGAGATGAGTCACCGCCTGACTCACGGGGAAAGCCCTCTCGAGAGCTGGCTGAGAACCCAGCAGGTGACATAAACCCACTTTCTCGGTTCTTTCCTTGCCTCTCCCCCCAAGGACTAAAAATAAAATGTGAACCAGTCACTTACTGCAGTAACTTTCATTCTTTTAGAATAGGAAAATGAAGCAGAAATTTTGAAAGAAGTGCAACTGGGTGGCTCCCCAAATTAGCCTCGGGGAAGGCCAGGGCGGGGGGCGGCTGGCTGTGGTGTGGGCACCAGCTCATTCAGAAGCAGCTTCTCCAGGCTCCAAGCGGGAGCATGCGAGGCAGAGGCTGGTCCGAGCGGCGCTGTTCTAGGAGCCAGGACCCCTCACTGCCAGCCCCCCGGGCTGCCTGTCAGGTCTTGCTGGCCCCTGGCGCCCTCCTCGGGGGATACAGAGGTCGGGGTGGGTGTTAACCTTTGGAGGTGGCAGTGGGATGGCGGTGGTGTGGTACTTGGGCCGTGGGGTCTTGTCTCTCCCTCGTAAAGACAGCCCTCCCCGGGCCCCCTCCTTTGAAATCTAGCGCTTTACGGCGCCAGCTTGGGAGACAGGGAGTCAGCTCCAAGGCTGTGTAAGGAGCCGGGGCTGAGGGGCTCCAGTTCCACCATCAGGGGAGGTGACCTGCAGAGTCCGCGGGACTCAGGGTGATCCTCGGGGAGCCGCGGTTCCCCTCCCCACGCCCCGCTCCCTGCCACATGACACCCCAGCCCGTGGAAGCAGGCGCTGTGGGCCACATCGGGCCTCGCTAGTAGCAGGTTGGGTCAGGAGCCCGGGGGTGAGAAAGTCAGCACTCTCACTTCTGTGGCAAATGAGGACTTCTGGAGCAGAAGGGATGGCTGCTTTCTCTGGCAGAAAGGAGGGCGCTCGGTTTGCAGGTTCTGCGTGCCCGATGGCAGCCGTGTCCCGGGATACGGCCCTCCCCTGCTCGCCGGCCCTCAGCGGTGCCAGCCCGGCTCTCAGGCCCGGCAGCCTGGGCTCAGGGCACTTGGGGCAACCCCAGAGCCACCCTGCTTTGTGTGGAGGCTGGAAGCCCAGGGGAACAAGGCTCAGTCTGGTAGTTACCGAGACAGTTTCTCCAGTTCTGCTCTCACGTGGGCAGTGAGGACCAGGACTGCCCAGGTGGGCGTGACCCTGTCCCAGGACCTGTTGGTCCGTCTGCACGTTGGTCCCGTCGTCTTTTGAAAATTGAATGCACCCCCACCCCGCGCCGCCCCCCTACAGCTCCTCTCCCCAACCCCCACCTGGGCTTGGGGAACCTGCCTCTCATTTCTCTGAAGTCTGCGTCTGCCGGGGTGAGTTACCCAGAAAAGCCGCCTCCCGGGATGAGACACAGGGATCAAGCAGTTGGGGTTGACTCCACCCCAGAATCTGGAAAGAGCGGACAGCAGGAGGTGGTTGGGGGTACAGGCCCCCCTTGGCTGCGAGTCCCATGCCTAACCACGGGTGGAGAGCCCCTCAAGCTCCCAGCGTCCACCCGCGATGCTGCCAGGTCAGGTCTGCTGGTTAGTGCTTGTCTGAGTCGGCCCTGATTCCAGCGCGCAGGGAAGCTTGAGCTCCAGGGACCGCTGGCCTTAGAGGCTGCGGGTTCAATGCTGTGGCCTGGGACGGTCCTTGAGGCTTCAGCCTCCTCCTTGGTGTTGGATTTTGTTCATAAACTCAGCAGTGAGGACGATGCTTGCAGTCTCTGATGCAAAGCCCGTAGTGGGTCCCAGGTCCCTCCCCTCCGTGCGGCCCTGGGCACCTGATGAAGGGCAGCGCCTGGGTGCAGGCTGCCTGCTGTGCCTGGGTCTTGCTTGATTCGTGCACGTAGGATGCGGCACGCTCCTTAGGGAAGAGCTTCCAGCCTGCAGATCTCAAGATGGATGAATACATTTGTATAATTTGAGGGCACAGAAGACAAGTCGGGAGATGAGAAAAGCAAAGCTCCGACGCTCTGACACCGAGCGGTCCCCGGACACTCAAGCAAGAGCCAGTCAGCCAGGCCGTTTCCTAGGCCGCTGCTGCCCCCTAGCGGGGAAGAGCCGCATCTGGCCGCGCGTCCTCCAGCGCGACCCTGGGGTGACAGTCACCGAACCCAGCCTGAGCAGACCAGCCATGAGGCCTCCCTGCTTGAACCCATCACCCCCGGAGACACAAAGAGACTTCTAGAAACTTTGCAGGAGCTGCTTCTAATGCTCCTTGTTCTGCGAGGTGGATATTCTTTTTCCCAGACTCAGAGTTGGGAAATGAGACATCCAGGCACGGGAAGGTGTGACCAGGGTCCCAGCTGAGGTCTGGCTGATGGCCAGGTTCTCACCACGGTGTCGCGATGTCCCGTCTGTTCTTTCTCTAAGAGCCCAGGTCCCCAAAGGCTGAGTTCCGACCCAGCTCTACCACGTGTCAGCTGTGTGACCTCGGGACACCTGACAAACCTCTCTGAGCGTCTCTCTCCTTGTCTAGACAAAGAGCGGATAATGCATACCTTACCAAGAGGTCGTGAGAAATTTTGTGTGACCTCGCGTCGAGCTGAGGAGTGTTGCTCAGGGGAGCAGGCTGAGTGGGCTCCCCCTTCCTGAACGTATCCACTTATAATCACGCACAAACAAAAGCATTGATGAAAGTGCTTGCCTTCAGAGAGGCCAAATACGCACCCACGTACCCGCCTAGTGTTATCTTGGCTCTTGAAGTAGCGCCGAGCGCACCCCCAGCACTCTCCGGGCAGATCAGAAGTCAGGCAGTCACCAGGGCCGGTGTCTTCCAGTTGCCGCCCCCCAGGCCAGGGAGGTGGGCAGGGGGCTGGGCATCGGGCACTGTGGTTCCCCGTGTCTGAGTGAGCTTCCTCCTCACACTCTCCCAAAGGCCCCTGAGAAATGCCTGGTCCCTGAAATGCTCATCAGCCCCCCAAATTCGGCTGCAGTGGGGATTCTGTTCTGCGGGAAATATTTTATGTCTCCAGGCTTTCTGTTGCGAGAGCTGCACTGGATTTTTTACTATTTTTACTATTTTTAATATTTAAAATATTAATATAATATTTAATATTAATATAATATTTAATATATTGATTATTAATATTAATGTATTAATTATTATATATTATTTATTATTATATTATATTTTATTATATTAATATATTAATATATTAATATTATTATAGTAATATATTATATATTATATTATATTGTGTTATTATATTATTTATTATATATTATATAAATAATATATATTAATATTATATATTATATTATATTAGTATATTATATATTATTATAATATTATATTATATATTATTATATATTATATATTATATATTATATTAATTTAATTTATTAATCATTAATGTATTAATTATTAATTATTAATATTTAACAATTGATATAATATTAAATATTTAAAATATTTTTAATATTTTAAAATATTTTTAATATTTAATTATTTTTTTTAATTATTCTGAAAAAATTAACCTGTGTGTGGGGCCAGACTGCGAGGGATAGCGGCGTGGACACCAGAATGTCCTCACTGGGTGGCGAAAGCTGGTGACTGGTGCCCTCTCCCTGGAGGTGGTGGTGATGCTGGTAATAATAATAGTAGTCACAAAGTTCGGCACCAGGTAAGAGCCTTGCCATGCATTAGTCACTTCAACCTGGAAACTGAGGCACGAGGAAGTTAAATAGACCCGGCCCACCTGACCAAGGGAGGTGGGGCCGGGATGGGAAGCCAAGTTCCCTCCTGGTGCCTCGTCCCGGGGGAGGGGGCGCCTGCTGTGTGCCTTCTAGCTGGCGCTGAGGGCGAGGCGCTCTTCTGAGACTCGTCCCTTCCTCGTGTCATCGGAAGTGCCACAGGAGGTGGTCAAAGTCAGGGGGTGGCCTCTGAAGGGGCCCTCATATGTCTCTGGTCTCCTGTAGCTCAGGTGCACCCTGTCCAAGGGGTCCCTCGCTCCCCTGGGCAGGTACCTGGCAGCCAGCAGGGGGCAGCACCGGGCTGCCGAAGCGCTTTCTCGCCCGGCCTGGAGGCTTCACAGGTCCACACAGGCAGCTGGATCCGAGTCCCAAACCACCTCTTCCTAGTCTGTTAAGGCAGAACGCTTGAGGTGCCTTTGCTAAACAAAAGCAAAATCACAGCCAGGTGGGATGGGACCAGGAGCGCGAGGAAGCAACCTCACAAGCACCTTTTTGTCGAATCCTTGCCGCTAGAGGTTTGACTTCTTCTCTCTGAGAAGCCGCTTAAAACGTGGCCCACAGAGTCCGACTGAGGGAAAACAGGCTTCACGCAAAAATAAATGTGTCTTACAGCTTTCCCTGGTTCTGGGATTGGGTCTGATCAGGGTTTTTTGGTGCTGGGGCCGGCACTGACTGACTGACTGTGGGAGCGGCCATTTTGAGACACTAGAACTTCTGGAGTCTTCCATATCCCAGAGTAGAAATTCATTGAGGTGGTTTCAGCCCTATCCCTATGATAGCCGATCTATGTTCTGAATCGGGTTTGGGGGGAGCAGGCCCGGAGTCCAAGGACGCCAGGCGGGCTCTTTCTTGGTTCTTGTCTTCAGTGAGGAAAGAGTTCAACATGGAGACCCAAGTTACAGAAAAGCTAGAGACTTATTGATGGGTGGAGTAAGGACAGGGAAGCTCTCTGAGCAGAGAGGGGTCCCGAGTGGGTAGCCGATTGAGGTGACAAGAAGCAGGTACTTATTTATATAGGTCCCGTGGGCAAGGAATGGGGGCTTGGCCATTGGGTGTCTCCATGGTCTCTTGCTGATTGGCTGGGCCCGCAGGGTCTCTGAGGGTATCGAGGCCCCACTGGGTTTTCCCACATTTCCTAGCCCACCTTTCTGAAACCAGCTTTGGTCCATTACTATTGTGCTAATATGTTGATGTTCCTAACGTTTCAAGTCTAATTGAATTGGGGGTGAGGAAGGCCTTCATGGCTGTGATGGTTTCTCAATCAGGCTGATAAATAGACTTGGGGTTTGGTGCAACCTGTTCCTAACTGACTGCCTGACCTGTTTCTTAACTTCCTCCTTCAGTCCCTTCCTCCATCAAACAACATTCCTTCCAAGCCATCTTCAAATGATTGTTTTGGGGTTCTGGCTTCCTGTCTGTAAATAGGGGAGACATGGCTT